TTTATGTGTTGAGTGAACTGTTGGACTGTAGATCTTAAATTGGTTTGGAAACAATGTAGCTGTGTAGAGTAGCAAAGTATGTGAAAGTGATCTCAACTGTAAATAGTAAACCTGATTAAATAAATCTCTGTATATCCTCCCTATAAACATGTGTTGTTTTCTGTTTAAGTTTCCAGTATATTTATTCAAATGGAGTCCTGGTGTGCTAGAACCCATAAGCTTTAGGATGAACAGCAGTTTTAAGCAGCTTAACTTAAATAGATCTGTTTTTAAGGTTTGGTGGAAGCTTGATGTATCATATTTGTTGTTCTTATTTGAAAGGATACTAGAGAAACACAACAAACTTGGTTGAACTTGGTGGAAAGTTAACATCTTGTGAATACAATTAAGGAAGAATCTGTTGCCTCTCAACAGTGGGAGGTGAATAGCCATCTTATAATGGCTGTATGTTAGTTATGCATTAATGTGTCTTGCATTCAGATGCTTAGTCACTACTCTGCTCTCCATGGCTTCAGTTGCCTCGTTCTTTTCAGAAGCCGGGAATGTTCAGATTTTCTACCAGTTGCTTATGTGCTTTATAATGCAAAGTATACATGCTCAGACAAACTGACATTAACATAATGTTCTCAAATACCCAAAGAAGCATTGCTCAGGAAGAGGTAATTCTAATACACATAGTCTGTTGTTAAGGCCAGTATATCTTGGAGGGGATTTAAGTTCTTAGAGTTGTTACACTACTGTAGAAGTATACTTTTAGAATTCTGCATTAATTTCTAAAGTTAGGTTTCAGATGATATGCACTTGGGCCTTAGATTTTCATTCTTAATACCGTATGGGTCTTAACCTGAACAGTCTCTTGGGATCCTAATGTTAAATTTCTTGGATGTGGTAGCAAGCCTCCTAACAGAATCGACAATCGGAAGCCTTGACAAGTTTAAGAATTATCTGCATCATACTGTTTTGCATATTGTAGATATGCTTGGTAGGATCCTATGACCCTGACTTGTAAGGATCAGACTAGGGGAGGCTTTAAAACAGACTTCTGTGTTGCAGAAAACAAAGCTAAGGATGCTTCAAAAAGTAGTCAGCTCCTAATAGCACAAGGCAGAAATAAGCTCTGCAGTCAAGAGTCTGAACATACCTCTTTGAAGTAAGGTTAGTTACAGAGACATTACAACGCATGTTCTTGTTAATCTTGCTGGAAAACATTGATTTGGAGTAGAGATGACTTGATGGGATAGCACCAAGTACTTGCTTGTAGATGAGGCAAGTCTCCAGTTGCTTTAGACAATGCAAAGAATTAATGCTGGAATGTGAAAACTTTTTCTGAATCTACTCAGTAAATATTTTACAGCTGGTTTTGGCCCAACTGAACTTTTAACTGTTGTGAATTAGTTCTCTTTGGTAGTCAGACATGAATACAGCTGTAGTATGAGGTTTTAATTCTTACAGTCTTTGAATGATCCTGTATTTTAAATGTGCTTGGGTTGCTGTGTGCTATTAGTGGGATTCATACTCAAATAAGGAGGCATGCACAAGTTCATGTAGGGATTGAGATAATCCTGATTTCTGCCATCATACTTTGTCATCACTTCCAGTTATGGAGACTTCCTGAATTTTGAAGGTGATTAGAAGCCAGACAGCTTAAATATTTGTTACTAGTTCAGTATAGTTTGATTAGTATAGCTTGGTTAGCGTTGGATATTACCATAGTACTAAAAGCCCTTTTGCTTAGAATTCCAGAACTGCAAGCTGATCTGGCAGGCTTCTGAAATTCTGTCTTCGGTCCCGGTATAACCCTGGAGAAGAATTTCTTAATCCTGACTCCTATTGAAAAGGAGACAGTTTAATATTAAAGGCAGATGACGAATGTGAGGCTTATCTAACTGTAGTCCATATACATCTGTTCTGTTACAAGCTTTAAACAATGAAAGCAAAACAGGTGGTTCTGCTTGTCAAGGGGATACTGTTACTGTGCATTATAAATCAAAAAAACGCAGTTGTAGTTTGCACCCATTCTTGGAAGTGCTGTTCTGTGTACCCATTTCAATGGAAATTGTGGCTTCTGTACCTGTAGTAGAACAGCACTATGTTTGAGTGAATATACAGAAAGAACTTATTCCATTGTGATATATTAAAACACTAATATTAAAACATGTCTTGATATGCTGAGCTTCTAGCTGTCCCTGTGAACAGTATTTCTTGCTTTTACCTAAAGAGATTTCTCCTCTAACTGAAGTACATGCATTTCCAAAAGCCTGTTTCGTGTCTGAGAAGAGCTTCTTAATTTATTAGTCTTCTGACGAAATTCCCATGTATGCTGGATCCAGGTTGCCTGCTATTGTTAATAAAACTGCTCTTAACAAACTATTCATCTGCTAAGAAAAATGACAGCAGAAGACTAGAATTCTTTCCTGCGGGTAAAAGAGGGTGCTATTACAAACTGTTTCTCTTCTAGCAAGCCGGTGAAGCCATATGCCTTTCTGCTTCACTCACTACCGAACAGTCTAAGCAAGGTTTGCATCTTAGATTTTTCCTTATCTGAGTCAGAAGGTTTGCATTGCAATGAGATTCCTTTTTTAAGTTCAGAGTGGTTTTTTGCTGTTGAGCAAGGAAGCACGTTGGTATTAAGGAGCAGTGGAAAATTCTGAACAGCATGGGCCTGTCATATCAAGTAATACTCTGACAAGCAGCTTTTCTGCTTTTAAGTTACCTATATTGAGACTCCTTCCTCTTAAATGAAGTTATACAATAATATAATATATATAATAATATAATAATAATATAATATACTCAGGCTCCTGTAAATATGCAAAGCAGTGTTTTCCAGTGTGGACTTCTTTGTCATAATGAATGACACAAAAAATAAAACAAGAAAAAACTAAAAACTTGTGTAAGATGGAAGAGTTTTGCTTTCCTCTAGTCCATTTTTAGTTGCTAGTTGTTTTTCTAGCTGTTACTGTTGAACTGTTGATAGGCTGATACAAGCTCTCTAGGACTGGTTACACTGTAGTACATTGATTAGATTTTCGTGTTTCACTAAGCTGTCAAATGCTGGTAATGCTATCGATGAAGTCTAGTCAGGTTTCAGCAGTGACTATTTTGACTTACTTCAGCCAGTGGAGCTGTTAATACTCACAACACCAGGTGATTTGGGGAGGGAGAAAGGTTTGTGTTTGTATTTAAGGGTGGTTGGATATGTTCTGTGTGTTGCTTGACAGTACTTCAATTTCCAGCTTCAAACAGCTAGCAGTATGTTTACTTCACCCTAGCTGCACAGCTGAAGTGGCTGCTCATCCAAACCACCTGGGTCTGGTGCCTTCTGCTGAAGAGGCAATGAGGTCTCAGTGCAGACTGCAGAGGAAATTATTCAAAGAATGATTGAAGATGTGTATGCTACGTGGAGCACGCAAGCACGTAGCTTGCCTGCAGCAGTGAGCCTGACCTCATCCAGAGCTTTTTAATACATGGGATTAGAGTTGCCTTAAGGGTTTGTTTTTTTTTTTTAATTGAGCTTTGCTGCTTCTTGCCGCTATTACAATTACTTCTAAGTACATTGCAGTGCAAGTACTGCGCTTTACTGCCTTTCAGCAGCCTAATATGAGGCTCATGAGAATTTGAGAATCTCAGGCTATAGTCTAGTAAGGCATGATCAGCTGTGTATTTGCCTTATTAAACGGGGGGGAAGCAGTCTAACAAGCTCAATTTAACAAAGCTAGTAAAAATCTCTCTTGATAGAAAGGACAGCTCATGAGATTTTTCAGTACTTGGAGTTTCAGATGATATTTGAGATAAGTACTTGTGATAATAGTGGTAGTGATAGCCTCCACAATACGGAGTTAGTGGGTCTTGTAACTGACTTAATCTTAGGCCTGAGATAAATCCCACTGAAATGCAATAGAAGTCTCTAAGTGCAGAGGATCTTAGGTTTTCTTGTGTGCTATATCCGGTAGTATAAGCACATACTTGGATGAATGCAATGCTTAGCAGACTGCCACCCGAGCCTCTAAAGGGCATTTTTCAGTTTTTGCTGTCTGGTGCCACCCTCATTGATTGGAGCAGCTGCCCTTTCTGCGTATAATAAGGCTACTTCCACATCCTTTTTTTTTTAAAAACTCATCTTGCTAATATTTTCCTTGCTGATCTCTGCACCTTCTCGTAGCTGATCCGTTTGCTCTGGAGCTGCACTGAGTAGATGGAAAGGTCTTTTGGGGGCAGCATCTTTTAAAGCATGATGTATACTTGGGATGTTGCTAAAAAGCAAGAGAGCAAACTGACATCTATGCTACATCGAAACCGGTGCTAGTGCAGAGCTTCCCCTGACTGCCAAACTGCTAAATTTGATGCAGTGACCTATAAAGTAGCAACAGTATTTGTTGGTTGCTACAGGCCGTGCATGGCTGTTGGGTGGTAAGATGCTGGCACTCTTAGCCTGTTTCCCACTGTTACACGTCATTCTTGTATTTCTAGACTGCATCAGCACTGGTCTTCCATTTCTGTTGCAGGGCTATCTTTCTTGGATTTGCTGTTTGTCTGTCTCTGTTTTGATTATACTGTTCAGTATTGGGACTGACTAGGAGAGAGCAAAATCAGTGGCATGTACCAGAATTACATTGTTGCTGCTGCTTTTTGGAAGCCTAGGTTGATCTGATCTTGATGGGGCAGTGTCAGTTTGCCTGTGCCCTACATAGCAG